TGTTATTCTAAACACGTTATTTGCGATAAATATCATCACATGCCTCGGTAGTCGAAAGGATAAGATGCCTGCCCGGTAAGCAGGAGATCCAGGTTCGATTCCTGGCTGAGGTGGTATTTTTTCGCAAAATAATTACGAGTTTTCACGACTGGTTCGTGGTCGGGCCCCGCCGTGACGCACACCCTCCCTTCTTATTTGGTAAGCAGTCAATGAAGATGATTCCTTGGGAATCCCAAAAAACAGTGATCATTATCTTCCCGGCCGACAAAACAGTCTTCGCCTTCTTCGGTGCACATTTACTAGGCGCTGTCCACTGATCGATTGCTGTTTTGACTCGAATATATAATGATGGATCCAAGTCTACGGTCACAAATCGACGCCAAAAGTTTTGTAGATTGCGCTTAAGCATCGATAAACACTGCTGCGAAATGTCTTTTCGCATGCGTTTTTGATCGATGCAATCGCGGCACCCATCGTGCACAAAGCTTTTTCATTTCTAATTTTTTGTGCAGGATATTATGCACTTATCTACTGAGATGCCTATAATCTGAGCTATGTCACGCACCTTCATTCGGCGATCTTCCATGACGATACGATGGATTTTTTCAATCATTTCTGTCGTAGTGACTTCAATTGGATGTCTTATAGGCGCGTTTCATCTTGATTGATGTCCGGCCTCTTTTGAATTCATTAATCCAAAAATAAACGGTCTTCAACGTTGGTGCAGAGTCCCCGTGAACTTCGTCCAATTCGGCTTTAATCTGCGCAACCGTCCACTTCTTTAAATAAAAATGTTTAATCATTGCACAAATTCGTCTTTCTCCATTTTTACGATAACTGCTGTCATGCTCACTTCCAACGTCTGCTACATGTAACACCTTCCTTTCTTATTCGGGGGCTCGAGCCATGCAATCTCTCCTGTTATGCTCCAGAGAAAAGATTATTTGTATATTTGCCAATGGGTTGGAGGGTGTCGCCGTTGCAGTCCGATCCATCGAGACAATAGGACCATCATCTCTCTGGAGTACCGGTCGTGGGGATTCGAAAGAATACATGTATATATGTATATTGTAATATATGTATATATATGTATCATTGTATTGTTGACGTGTTATTCTAAATACGTTATTTTGCGATAAATATCATTACATGTCTCGGTAGTCGAAGGGATAAAATGCCTACCCGGTAAGCAGGAGATCCAGGTTTGATTTCTGGCTGAGGTAGTATTTTTTCGCAAAATAATTATGAGTTTTCACGACTGGTTCGTGGTCGGGCCCCGCCGTGACGCACACCCTCTCTTCTTATTTGGGATGTGTATAATGTAAACTAAGTAATGTAAATCCC